CACACACAAACACACAAACACACACACACACACACGCACACACACACAAACACACAAACACACACACACACACACACACCAACTCGAGGTCCCCTCACCCGCCTCGTCAGCGGCCCCCCTCGTGACGCCGTCCGCCGCGGCCGCCAGCAGCCGCCCCAGCACCTCCCGCGCGTTGAACACCAGCCAATCGATCAGCGTCGCCCTCAGCGCCCCTTGCGCTGCCATGCACGACGCGGGCGCCGCAGCAGCGCGGCCCGCGCCCGCGGCGCCTTCGAGGCTCGGTGCCGGCGAGCCGGGCGGGCTCGGCGGGGGGCCGGTCGCGTCGCTGGTTGCCGAGGGGCGCGGGGCGTCTTGTGTGTTGGGCACAAGAAGAGCGTCCAGTAGGGTGGCGGGGGGCAGGCCCAATTGGAGGGACAGCTGCAGGGCATCTGATGGGGATTTATGTGGGGGAGGTGGAGGGGGCAATGAGGCTTTGTGGGAGGGGGCGATAATGAGAGGTCGGCGCATCAGGCATACTGCCTATACAGCTGGCTTGCCGGGGCGGGAGGGTGGCCCGCGCGTGGAGGGGATGTGAATTATTATTGTTCTCGAATGGGAGGGCTTGCCCCCGCCCCTGCTCGGACCAGGGCGTGGCCTACAGAGTCCGGGGCGAGCGCCGCCAAACAGCCCCCGCCCGCAGCCCGTGCACAAATGACGGCCCCCAGTCTTGCCCCCAAACACCCCGCATGCGTGCACGTTTTTTGATAGCCCCCTTTCCGCCCGCCCCATTCCCCGCACACCCTCGGGGGACCCTGCACTATTATGATGATTTTAAGGGGAAGAGAGCAAGAAGCAGACGTGCGTCATCCCCATGACGGGTTGACGCGGGCAGACAAAGCAGGGCGCGGGCGAAAGCAATATATCTGCAATCCGCCTGATGCGGCAAAGACAAGCGCGTGAGAGCGCGCGCGCGCGCACACACACACACACACACACACACACACACACACACACACACACACACACACACGCGCGCGCGCGCGCGCGCGTGCCCCCACCGTTTGCAGCAGCCCGTTGCTGCGGGCCGCCCCCTCCCGGCGGCAGCGCGGCCGCCAGCGCCAGGCAGCGCGCCGCCAGGGCGGAGCGCAGTGGCGGCGGCAGCAGGGCGCCGCCCGGCGGCGGCGGCAGCGCCAGCAGGCGGCCCAGGCCTGCGGGGTTGTCATTGGCGTGTGGGGGCAGGGTGGGCAATCTTTGGAAAGGAAACGTTGCAGATTCTTCTCTACAATATCCAATTGGTGGCAAAACAGATTACGCAGCGATTCGCAATTTCAGAAAGCGAGGGCATGCGCCGGGGGACTCCACGGCCGGCGCCGCCCTGCGGCCGCAGCCCACCTTCGACGACCGCGCCCGCCGCCAGCGGCCCCGCGCCGCGGCCCGCCGC